CGTTTAGGTGATTTGAGCAGCCAGTGTGTATATACCACGAGTATACCATTGATCCATCTAAATTATTAGATTCCATCAGTAGCACATGTTCAACATTTGAATCGCTTCTAGATATGTTGGCTTTTTCACCTTTGCTAAACCATGTTTGACCAGCAATCGACAAAAAAATGGCCAAACTTGTTGCAATTGTAGCACTGAACTTTCCTCTTATCAAACTTCTTATTTCCCTTATGAACAATCTTGTGTTTCTTCTCTTTAGAGTTAGAGAGTTTTGGCTTCTGAACACCACCACCATACTTTCTCTTGTTCTCTAGTCATGGTTGCTTCTGGTTCTTCTTTCTAGAAGAAGCTTTCAAAGCTTGTTCTGACTCCCTTTCAGAGTTTCTTTCAGTCAAATGCAACTCTTATGCCTCTAAACTACTTTGAAGCTCTCCAATTTTCATGGTGCTAGTGTCTTTAGAATGTTCTACGGCTACAACTATGTAATCGAACTAAGGAGTAAGTCATCTGAGTATCTTTTTAATGATTACTTGTTCAAAGAGCATTTTTGCATAATACTTCATCTCATTCGTGACCGTAATCACTCCGGAGATGTAACCAGGAACTCTCTCGTAGTTCTTCATACTTAAATTCTCATATTGTTTGCATAGGGACTGAAACATGACCTTCTTCACGGATGTGTCACCACCATAGCACCGCACTAGTGTATCCCACACCGCCTTCATCGTTATCGAGTAAGCAATTATCTCAAACACATTTGTATCCATAAACTGATGGATAAAAAACAAAGCCTTCTGATCCTTCTTCCTCATTTCACGTCGCACATTTATTTGCGCTTCTATTGTATTTTCATCATCTGGCATGTAACCGTCATTGACGAGATCAAGAATATCTTGAGTTCCAAACAACAAACACATCTAAATCAACCACGGAATCCAATTATTTCTGTCGAATAACGGAAGCTTTGTGTTCAAGCTGTCATTTCCGCCATTCATCTTTCTTCTTGTGAAAATCACTCAGTTCTTACTAACACTCGTGTTTTCAAACCCTAAGAATCAAGATCTGTGATTCTCTTCGATTTTGAACTTTAATTCAATATGGATTTAAAGAACAAAATAAACCACACACCTCACTACATGTGTGTTTCCCTATGAATCTAATTGGAACTCTGGGTACCAATTGTTGGATTTTACACTAAACCTCCACTAATGGATAAGAAAAGAAGATGGAGATGAAATAATACAGAGAATAAAGGATAGCAGAAATAACAGCCGCTATTTGGGAGTTCATGGCGGCGCAATAGCGGTTTACAGACCGCTATTGTGAAGAAATGACAGTTTTGTAACATTTAAAATTTTTTAAGGGCAATATTGGTATTTTAGCCTTTCATTTCACTATTATAAAATATGATAATGATGCATTCAGTCATTATCATTTACCTCTTTACTCAAACAGTGGAAATTTACCGTTCTCTATTCTCCTCTTCACAAATCCCATTCTTCCTCTTTCCTCTCAATTTTAAAACAAATCTCAGTTAGCGTTGTCTCAGCTTCACTCAAATTCAGCCAATGGTGGAACTTGAACTTGGATTAACATTTTATCTCTCTCTTTGCAAATCTGGTTCTTTCTTCTTCTCAACTGAAAAATCAGCAACAACTAAAACTCAACAAGCGGTTAACAATAAGTTGTGAATCTTTCTCATCCTTTCTTCCACATTCTTCTTCATCTATTCATTTTTTCTTCTTCTTCTTCTCTCTCTCTCTCTCTCTCTCTCTCTCTCTCTCTCTCTCTCTCTCTCTCTCTCTCTCTCTCTCTCTCTCTCTCTCTCTCTCTCTCTCTCTCTCTCTCTCTCTCTCTCTCTCTCTCTCTCTCTCTCTCTCTCTCTGTTGATTTCTATTCTGTTAGAAACCATGGCATCAACTTTTGCAAATTTAACATAAACATCCAACAACAAAGGTTTTTTAAATCTATTGGTGATAATATTGACATAGGTTGGCAGTGGAACTCCTATAAATACCAAAGCAAAAAGACTATTATTTGTGATTTTTGTGAGCACCCTTCAACAAGAGGTATAACACGAGCTAAGAAGCATCAATTAGGATTCATATACAACCATACCATAACCCTTAACATTCACCGAAGGGGCTAAATTGATTAGGAGTGGAGTTACAAGGTTTGCAACAACATTCCCCACTCTTCAAAGATCGTATAAACTAAAAAACAATCTTAGACGAATGTTTGTATCAGAAGCTTGGTTGAACACAAAAACATCAAAAGATGTTAAGAGGAAAAGGGCATGTGTTATTATTCTCATGACATCGTTTTGAAATGATGTTCTATACTCTCTTAAGGCAATGGAGGCATTGGTGACAATTTTAAAATTATTTGATAATAAGAAAATGCTGACAATGAGGTACAATATGAGGCAAATGATAGGGCAAAGGAAAGTATACAAAAATCTTTCAATGGAAATGAGAGTAAGTACAAGGATATTTTTGAAATCATAGATAGTAGATGGGCGTGTCAACTCCATCGTCCATTGCGTGCAGTTGAGCATTTTCTTAACCCACAACACTTCTAAAATGATCCAAGCATTGGCAAAGACACATAAGTAACAAATGGGCTCTTTGCTTGCATTCAGATGCTTTTAATAGATGCAATAAGAATGACAAAACTCTATTTGAGATTGTTGTGTATCGGAAGGCGAATGACACATTTGACATGCTTTCTGCAATTAGAATGAAGGAAACCATGTCCCCTGGTAAGTTAAAGTTCATTCTTTTTAATTTAGAATAGAATGACACACTCAATACTAGAGGTGACAATGAAATCCATTTAGATAATATCCATCCAATTCATCCAATAATTTATCCATCCAATCCATCCATAAGACAAAAAATAATTTAATGGATTTGATCCAATCCATCCACTAACTCATATGGATGGATTCAATCAATCCATCTCATTTTATAAATCTATTGGATATTATGTTGTCACTTATTAAATTAAGAATTTTTAAATTAATTTTTTGGATGGATGGATATCCATCCATTAGAAATATGTTAATGGATGGATTGGATGAATTTTATCTTTTAATGGACAGATTGGATTGGATTTTTATTAAGAGAGTTTAGTGAATTGTTAATGGATTAATGGATTGTTTTGATCCATCCATCAACAATCCAATCCATATCCATTCAATCCATCCATTTTGCCACCCCTACTCAATACTAACTAGTTATTGGATTACAATTCTCAATTACAATTTTCAGCTTAGTGGTGGACCATGTACGGAAACCATTGTCCTCATTTGCAAGCAATTGCAATAAAAGTGTTAAGCCTAACATGCAGCTCATCGAGATGTGAGCTTAATTGGAGTACTTTTGAGTAAGTTAAAAATTAATAGTTTTTTATGTAGTTAGATTAGAGATGGTGAGATTTGAAATTAATTATCTATAAAACTTATAATATAGATTCATTTTAAGAAGAGAAGCAAGCTAGAGCATCAAACGCTACAAGACTTGGTTTTTGTGAAGTACAACCAAGCTCTCATAGAACGCTTCAATATCATTAATTTAACTGATCCTATTCTCCTCGACAATATTAATGAATGTTATGAATGGTTGCAACAAAATGAGGATGAAAATGGAATATTGGAAGATGATTTGGTTTTAGGAGAAAAGAGTTTGACTTGGGAAGCTGTTGGTAATGTTGTCGGCGCTAAAGAATCAACAAGAATCAACAAGAGTTACTAGATATAACTCTAGACTTGCTACATTAGTGTCTAACAAAGATGAGGAGTTGGAGGTGGAAGAAGAAAAGTTTAAAGTTGAATCAAGTGATGAGCAAGATGATATTAATGTGGTGGAATTTAGAAGTGAAGATGAGGCGGATGTGATTTAGTTATTTTGTTACATTTGTTTACTTTTCGGATTTGATTTAGTCATTTTAAGCACATTTATAATTTGATTTTGATGAGAACTTATATTGTGGTGCTATTGGAATTTATGTATTGTTGCAACTTCTATTATTAAAATATTATGTATGTTGCTGGAACTTATTTTAAGTATTTACGAATTCATTTTAAGTATTTGCTCACAATAACGGTCATCCCGCTATCCGCTATAGCATTTTGGAGGTCCGGTGCACTCATGAAATGTAATGCAGTATTTGTTTTCTTGCCTAATGTTTTCATATTTTAAAATCTGAAACCCCTTCCGTATTTCAAAATCTGAATCCGAATTCCGAAATTCACTCATTTTTAACATGGATGAGATGCTTTTTCGTTGAAGAGAATTTTATATAATTGATGTATTCGAATTTCAAAATTTCTACAAGATTAGTAATCAATGTATAAATATCAAGGAGAAAAATACCCAAAACATATACCACTCTATATTCAATTCACTTGTTTTAAAATATTAATTACAATATTAAAATTCAATTTTAATCACCATAAAACTATACACAATTCAATAATATTGATATATTGTTTTTTCATGTTGACAATAAACAAAGATTATCTAGAATCTCATGTTAGGAATCTTGATAGAGAGCTCATGCTAGTGAGAAATGAATAGAACTAAGTTAAATAATCGTATTAAAACGAGTAAAGTGATTACATGGTTCCATCAAGCCTTTTTATACAAGGTAACTACTTCTAGCAACTAACCAACTATCTATATTTCTAATAACTCCCATAAACCTAGATAGTTCAGCTTGGGATGAACACTACAAACACACATCAAAACTTATCCACATACAAAGCATAAGCAAACATATCAAAGTCATGACACTAACCTCAACAAAGATGCATATAAACAAATAGTTGGTGTGCATAGTACTTAACATAATTGAAAATACATGATGTAAAAATACTATTACCAATTCCAAACTTAATCCAATGTATGTATATGAAATGAAATAAAACAGTTACATCAAAAGATCAAAAGAGTAAAACTAGTTAATCCCAATACACAATCAAAACAAAGCAATGATTTTTATGAACTACGTTCAGGGAAAGAAACGGTTTCCTTGAAAGATGAAGATAGGTTAGAGTCAGAATCAGATTCAGATTGTTGAACCTCATTTTGATGCTGCTGCTGCTGATGATGATGATACTGATCAGCTTTAGCTTTCTCCAGATAAGGCTTGAAACCAATTCGAAGACTCAAGTAACCAAACGCTACTGCTCCTAACACAACTATCCCTGACCTAATCGCGTTCATCTTCATATCCGATCTCGGAATTCGAGACATACCCTCTTCAATTCAACAACAAAAACTCTAACTTTTCTCGATGAAACTCAAATTCAACGGTATGTGAGTGTGATTGTAAATGAATTAATATCGGAATTTTGTATGGTGCTTGCTAGAAACGGCACAAAAAATAAAAGAACCAAACGACATCGTTTTGAGCATTTTCGAAATTGGAACACGTGGACATGACTCATGACTCATGACTCATACAAATAGCGAAACTAAAAAAATGGAAAAGAGAGAAACTTTCTCACTGTTCTAGAGTTTCTGAGCTTAGTACCTGTCTGGGCTTCTTTCTGGTAAGGATTTTTCTTTGTTTGTTCATTTTATTCACTTCAATTCACTGAAAAGTTTGAGTCTTTATATGAATTTGTTATGAAATTTGGTGTAAGAGATGGGGGTTTTGTGTTTTTTTTAAAAGATATTTAATTCATGTTTGGGTTATGAATAGGGTTTGGTTTGGTCATGTTAATGAAACATGTGATCATGAATTCTCAGTTACCCTTGTTGTGTTGTGCAAACAATTGTATGCTACTGGCTTCTTCACGTGTTTTCAGAAGACAGCGGTTCTTGATAAGGTCTTTTGGAGGTAGCATTGGTGATTGCAGGAATTCTGGTTCTGGAAAAATGCAGTCTGTTGATGTAGATGACATTATTAGAGCAATTACTCCTGACCTAGATCAAAGTAGACATAAAGGCCAGGCAGGTACGCAATTCTTGCAAATATCCCTAGCATTGCATGTTTATGTAATGGATTTTTTTTCCTAATTCATTTCATTTGGCGTTTATCGGAGAAAATTAAGAAAGTAATATGTTGTCAATTATGTCTCAAGGGCTAACTTTGTATTACTTACATGTATTTTGTATCTGTCTGGATAGAGAATAAGAAGTATCTTATTTATTTTTGAATTCTGTTTCGAATCAGGGAACATAGCTGTTATTGGAGGGTGCCGCGAATATACAGGCGCCCCTTATTTCGCTGCTATTTCAGCCTTAAAAATTGTTAGTACCTGAAATCTTTCTTTTTACTCATTTTCAAAGTTTCTGTATCTATTCTTCTAATCAGTCATATTATTAATTTTTCTGTTCATGCAGGGTGCAGATTTGTCCCATGTTTTCTGTACAAAAGATGCTTCTCCTGTCATTAAAAGCTACAGTCCTGAGTTGATTGTTCACCCTGTTTTGGAAGAATCATATAATGTCAGGTACGACTTCGATGCAATCTTCATCTTTCTAACTGCACATTTCAAAAAATAGCCTGGGAATATTGTTTTTAGCAAGAGACTAATTTCAGGGACGAGGACAAGAAAATCATATCAAACAAGGTTCTTGCTGAAGTTGACAAATGGTTAGAAAGATTTGACTGTCTAGTCATTGGTCCTGGCCTTGGAAGAGACCCGTTTCTTCTAGTATGCTCTCTCTTCATAAGCTTTGCTTGAATCACTCGATTCCAGTTTCATTATACACTTGGAAATGGCTTACTTATCTTTAGCTTCTTATGTTAAGTTATGAGTTCTTTTTTCTATTTACATGTTGCGAGTGTCCTTCATCATTACTCCTAACGTTTGTACAATGTTTATCAGGACTGTGTGAGTGAAATCATAAGACATGCAAGACGGTCAAACATCCCAATTGTGATAGATGGGGTATGTATGTTGAGGTTTGGACACCTTGTGGTCGGATTAACATGTGCATGTTGCTTACTGTTTTGGCATATTTCAGGATGGACTTTTTCTTGTAACAAATCATCTTGAACTTGTTAGTGGCTATGCCTTAGCTGTTCTAACCCCAAATGTCAATGAATATAAGCGACTTGTACAGAAAGTACTGAATTCTGAAGTAAACAACGACGATGCTACTCAGCAAGTGCTGTCTCTTGCCAAACAGTAAGTTCCTCATTTTATGTCGCTGGTTTTTATGTTAGAATATTTTTGTGTCAACTGATCCTTTTTAATTTCTTGTTTCCTATTTCTGAGACATGTTTCTGTTTAGGATAGTCGGTTTCTTACTGTTGTGGATTGCCTTTTGCAGAATTGGTGGTGTTACTATCCTAAAAAAAGGAAAATCCGATATAATAAGCGATGGTAACACAGGTAGATAGATCTTCAACGAATATAAATCTCCGTTTTCCTCCCTGTCTTGTTGAGTATATACTTTGAATACTTTAGATGAAAAACAGCTACAATAGACAAGAGAGAATGTTAACGTGGGAATTTTTTATATTTACAACCAAAAGAGCAATTTCTGTCAAAAAAAGAAAAGAACAATAGTTTCTTCTTTTACTCAAATTCTTAATCTATGGAATACACAACAATGCTCGATGAAGCATGACATGAAACTAGTGCTAGAAAATATATTATGGTATCTACTAATTTATGGAAAACTATCAATGAAGCATGACAATAATGCACATGGCACAAGGCATATAGATGCTTGGAAACCATTTGATTGGGGCTGTTAATTGTGCAGTCAAATCAGTAAGCATCTACGGCTCTCCTAGACGCTGTGGTGGCCAAGGTGATATCCTTTCTGGAAGGCAAGTAATTTTTTTTTAGATGATATTTGTTTTTAAACACGTATTATGTGAGTTTGATCCTTAGATGAAACAATTGTTTACCAAACTTTATTTACCTTCCGGCCGATCTCCGGATTATCTTTCTATTGAGACTCCGAGAGTATAAAAAAAGTTGTGATCAGTAGAAAATTGAATTTAAATGTCAGTTATACATTTGTGATGTTGGGATTGAGTTTTTTTAGTAAATATATACTTATTTTAATTGATACAGTGTTGCGGTCTTTTTGTCATGGGCACGCCAATATATTGAAGCTGCTGGTCAAGATTCGAATCTCAGGTTATAATGTTTTATATTTTTCTTAGGTGTGTTGTATCATCTTTGATATGAATTATATCCTTAATAATTATACTTTTGTGCTAGTCTTAAAAATCCAGCTGTGTTGGGATCCATTGCTGGCTCTGCTATAATGAGAAAAGCAGCTTCCATTGCTTTCTCAAATAAGAAAAGATCAACTGTCACCGGCGACATCATTGAAAGCTTGGGGAAAAGGTAATTTGTTGTTGAAAATTTAATATTTGTATGATTATGACTTATGACCAAGTTGAGTTACGAATAAGTTTGTCTATTCTTTCTTTCAGTTTGGAAGATATTTGTCCTGCCAGTTCAAGCAGTTTGTGACCTCCAAATACTTGTATAAAACGTGTCGAGTTACTCGTATGATTTACCTTAAGAATTTGTTCTATTTAATAAAGGCAGTCTTGCTGTTTGTGACAGTCATTCAGTGAAGTTTTGTTTGTACAAGGTTGATGTTTGTTTAGTCATTACATGTGAATGCCTTGAATTTTTCAATGATGGTCAATTTAGGAAGAAAAAAAAAACTGTGACAGGTGCTCTCAGAAGACTTTTTTTAAAAACAGGAATCACGTTCTTGATTCACCTTAAAATGTTTAAGTTATTTCAACTTATCAAATATTCTTGCACCAAGTTAGGGCACATGGACTACAAGTGTGTATGGTTTGAGACCTCTCAACAATGATATATAGTGAGGTATTGAAGTTTGTTGAAGATGGAAAAGGATTTGAGGCGACCTTGCTGTGTGACATCTACCATTGAAGTATAATATGTTGCTGCGAGTAGATGTTGTGTGCAAATTATCAGGATGAATCATTAGCTAAGTGATTATAGAGTTATTCTACTAGGGGTATAGGGTATACTATTTGTCAAGTGGAGTTTAACCACTGCATTCCTTTATACTTGTTTCTTTGTTTCTTGTTTGTCCACCTCTTGAAAGATGAGTTGTCATCATTAAAAAGGAGAATGTAGATCTATCCATGTAAATGTAGATCTATGCATGTAAAATTATCTCCAAATGATCTTAATGGCAGATAATCTTGGTGGTTTTTATGCTAATAACATATAATGTTAAATGCTGTTTAGTGGAGTTCTTGAGAATCTCTGATCAAACAATCTCTGATGATGGTGTTTATTAAAGAAGTCATATCAAGCTTTATCAGATAGAAGAAGTCAACTTTTAGATGAAGTGTTGAATTAATGAGAAATCTAGCTAGGGGTCTTGAAGCTTTAAGGTTGTGAAAGAAAAGAAGTGTAAACGTTCCTCTTGTCCTGTCTGAGTGATCAATGTTTTGTAAAAGTAAAGAGTATCTTTTAAGATACTAAGGCAACTTTCACACACACGCTAAAATGTTTTTGAAAACTCTCATTTTATAAAACCACCCGAAAAACATTTTACACATGTACCTAGTTGATTGCAAGCTTGGTTAAACCTTTAGGAGAGTTTTGTGCGCTAGACAATCGATTAACACACTAGGGTTAATTGATTATCTCTTTTGTAACACCTCTTATTCTTTTAAGAGAGATTCTAATCTATTAGTGATGACAAATTTGAAAATCTTTCATATTTGACCTATATAATTGACTAATCCTTGGTCATTATTGACTAAGTGTATTAAAAAGCTCATGAGTTATTTTCTTTTTTAAGTTTATATTTTCTCTTGTAAATAGAGGGCTTCACCGCATTTCAAAATACACCTGAATATGAATTTCTACTATTCTTTTCTCATTTTCTACTCTTCTCTACTTTTTTATACTCTTTCACTAAAGTTGCTTTAGTGTCTTGTGAGTGAAAAATACTTGTGAGAGTTTGATTGTAGTGGTGTTCGTGCTTAAGTGCTATTTATCAAGAGTCTTGTTTTCTTTTTTGAGTTTGGTTCTCGAGATTGTCTTGAGAAAATCTATGTTTGGTTATTGAGATTATCCAGTAAAATCTATATTTGGTTTGTGAGCTCGGCTGTCAAAAAACTCTCACAAGATTTGTGGGAATATCCTTAAGAACTTGGGATATTATATCAGTGGAACTCTCAAGAATAAAATTTTGGGGAGAAGAGTAGGTCAAGTGGTATGTCAAACCTTTATAAATCTTAGTTGAATTTCTTTATTCTTATTTCTTTGAACTTTGTTGATTTA